CGAAGCCGGGGGGGTACCACCGGGGGGAGCCCCCGGGGGGGTACCAAGCCGGCGGTGTGCCAAGCCGGCGGCCGCTGGCTTGGTAGGGAGGAGGCCCTGGAGGGGTACCAAGCCGGCGGGCCGGGTACCAAGCTGGCGGCCGCTGGCTTGGTAGGGAGGAGGCCCTGGAGGGGTACCAAGCCGGCGGGGTACCAAGCCGGCGGCCGCTGGCTTGGTAGGGAGGAGCCCTTGGGGGGGTACCAAGCCGGCGGGGTACCAAGCTGGCGGCCGCGGGCTTGGTAGGGAGGAGGCCCTGGAGGGGTACCAAGCCGGCGGGGTACCAAGCCGGCGGCCGCTGGGGTGGTAGGGAGGAGCCCCCGGGGGGTACCAAGCCGGCGGTGTACCAAGCCGGCGGCCGCTGGTTTGGTAGGAGGTGCCAAGCCGGCGGGGTACCAAGCCGGCGGCCGCTGCCTTGGTAGGGAGGAGCCCCCGGGGGGGTACCAAGCCGGCGGGGTACCAAGCCGGCGGCCGCTGGCTTGGCAGGGAGGAGGCCATGGAGGGGTACCAAGCCAGCGGGGTACCAAGCAGGCGGCCGCTGGCTTGGTAGGGAGGAGGCCCTGGAGGGGTACCAAGCCGGCGGGGTACCAAGCCGGCGGCCGCTGGCTTGGTAGGGGGAGCCCCCGGGGGGGTACCAAGCCGGTGGGGTAACAAGCCGGCGGCCGTTGGCTTGGTAGGCAGGCGCCCCCGGGGGGGTACCAAGCTGGCGGGGTACCAATCCGGCGGCCGCTGGCTTGGTAGGGAGGAGGCCCAGGAGGGTACTGGTGGAAGCCGGCGGGGTAACCATCCGGCGGGCCGCAGGCTTGGTAGGGGGGAGCCCCCGGGGGAACAAGCCGGCGGGGTACCAAGCCAGCGGCCGTTGGCTTGGTAGGCAGGCGCCCCCCGGGGGGTACCAAGCCGGCGGGGTACCAAGCCGGCGGCCGCTGGCTTGGTAGGGAGGAGGCCCTGGAGGGGGTACCAAGCCGGCGGGGTACCAAGCCGGCGGCCGCTGGCTTGGTAGGGAGGAGCCCCCGGGGGGGTACCAAGCCGGCGGGGTGCCAAGCCGGCGGCCGCTGGCTTGGTATCTGGATGGGTTGGTTCGGCGCCAGAAAGGGTACCAAGCCGGCGGCGGGCGTACAGAATGCAAACTGGTATATGTGTTATCCAAGCACTTCATGTCACAACGCAAACAGCGGTGTACTAGTTTAGCGTTCGGAGCGAGTGGAGCTATCTGATCATGGCGGCCAGACCCTGGATCTCCCACCACAGACGCCTCGAGTAGAGGCCTCCTAGATGGGGTCGGAGTGGATGGGGTCGGTGGGTCGGGCGGCATCGCCGATACATCGGCGATGCATCGGCGATGCATCGCCGATGCATCAGTGATGCACCGGCGATGCATCGTCGACGTCGGCGATGCGTCGGCGACGTCGACGCGAGGCACATCGGGCCCCACATCGAGCCGCGTCGAATGTTCAAATTCTAATAATCATGTTCATGTTCGCGCTGACATGGGGTTGCTTGTTGTACCCTTGAGATCATATGGAAAATAATATCCAAGATTCGCCCGCGCGCACTGCATCATCACCCGATCAATGAGATCCAATCTACGTGTGAACGCAATGCTGGACTCAATGTTTCCCACAACCCAAAGAGCGATTGATATGTTGCTCTGCAATTGGAAATCCTGATTTCTGCGTTTGAACGTCCAATCGACCCCCAGCTCTGCCTCCGCGTGAACCAATCTATCTAACAACGCCGTTTGCAAAGCCGCAAAACTACCGCGACCCCTCCGCTGGAAAAAACATTCATCGACTTTTCGATGGTGGGTCGTCCTGCCATAAACATTCGTAGACTTTCCGTGCGCTGTGGCTGCGGTGTGGATCTTACTGTGGAACAGATGCGCACCCCGGTGCGAGATCTGCCAGCCTTGACGCTTCGCGCATACCCACCAGCCCATCCATACACGATGCCCATGAGAGTTGCCCAGCGAAGCGCGGTGGCGAAAACAACAGTTAATAGTGAAGAGAGGTACTTCGACGAGAACGTTGGAAGCATCGTTGGGCCATATTGGATGCCGTTGGGCCCCCCTCTGGGGCAATCTTGGGGTCATCTTAGGGCCCGTTTGCGGTCTCGTGGGGCCCCGTGTGTGTGTGTGTGTGTGTGTGTGTGTGGCTATTAGGGCTGTACTGGAGGCCGTCGATTCACTTTGCGCCCCCGCGAGCGACCTCGAAAGCTGCAACCAGGAAGGAGGTCGAGAGAGGGAGAGGAGGCGGAGGTTCGAGGTTCCCAAAGCTGGACTCTCGGTCGGTTCTGCGCATCCTGGGGCGCCCTTGCGACCGCGGCTGGATTCCACTCGGAACTCCGGCCAGGTACGGCTTCGGGTCCAGGTAAGGCCATGGTAAGGCCAGGTCCAGGTCCAAGGGTCCGTGCCAGGTAGGGCTTCGGGTTGTGCCCAGGTCGTCCCTCCGAGCAACTAGTCCCAGCTGGCCCGAACAGGCCCCCCAAGTGGTCTGGGGCGGTCTCAGCACCCCAACCCTGGGGCGCGGATCGCCCGATGGGCGCCGCCAGAGGCGGCGCCAGGGTGTGGAAACCGCCCTGGCATGCTGAGATGGGCTGTTGAGGCCAGCTGGGACTACTCGGGAGGCCTGCGCAGGCCAGCTGGGACTGCGTGGGGAGCTTTCTGCGCGCAACCCGAAGCCTTGCCATCCGTGCTGGCCAGCAGGACAAGAGGGATGAGAAGCAGCGGCATCAGCTCGGGATCCCCACGATCGGTCAGCGTCGAATCGGGAAATCGGATCCGGGAGATCGGATCGGAGCGGAACGTGCGTCGGATAGTTCTGCATCGACACAACATCGGATCGGATCGGCTACGCCCTGCAGGCATCGGGCCGCATCGGGTCGTTGGAACACCGAAGCATCATCGGATCGGGCTGGCGAACGTCGACCGAACGGAACCGACCGAACCGAAATGGACCCTGGAGGAACGAGGAACAATGGCAGCAGCTAGGCCGGA